GAGGAGATTATAAAGATCTGGGCAGAAATTAATGCAAATGAAATGAAGAAAACCCTACAAAAAATAAATGAATAAAAGACTTCTTTCTTTCAAATTCTTTGTTTCAAAGAATAAATAAAATTGATAAACCCCTAGCCAACCTTCTCAAAAAAAGAAAGGAAAGAATTCAAATTCATGCAATAAGGAATGAAAAGGATGAAATTACTGCAAATTCTATAGCAATTCAGAAGATCATTAAGACCTACTTTGAAAATCTTTATTCCCATAGGATAGAAAACTCAGAAGAAATGGACAGATTCATAAATAAATACGAGTTACCAAGGTTGAGTCAAGAAGATATTAGGACCCTGAACAAGCCAGTATCATTAATGAGACTGAAAATGTGATTAAAAACTACCGACAAAGAAAAGCCCAGGCCTGATGGATTCACAGCAGAATTTTACAAGAAATTCAGAGAAGATTTAATACCAACCCACCTCAAACTCTTCAATGAAATTGAAAAGGAAGCAATCCTCCCTAAGTCATTTCTGGAGGCAAGTATTATACTGATACCAAAACCAGAGAAAGACCCAACCAAGAAAGAGAACTACAGACCAATCTCCCTCATGAATATAGATGCAAAGATACTCAATAAAATACTAGCAAATAGAATGCAGCAAATCATCAAGAAAATCACACATCATGACCAAATCAAATTCATTCCAGGAATGCAGGGATGGTTCAATATTTGCAAATCAATTAATGTTATACACCATATTACTAGAGCCAAAAACAAAAACCATATGATCATTTCAATAGATGTGAAAAAGCTTTTGACAAAGAGCAACATGCATTCATGATAAAAACTCTACAGAAAATAGGAACAGATAGTCTTTATCTCAACCTGATCAAAGCCATCTACGACAAACCAACAGGGAACATCATACTAAATGGACAAAAACTTAGTTTTTATTTTAAAATCAGGAAAAAAACAAGGATGTCTGCTGTCACCACTCCTGTTCAACATAGTCCTAGAACCATTAGCCAGAGCAATTAGACAAGAGAGAGA